ATTGTACAGTGGCATCAAGTGCCGTAATGTGCACCTCTGCCTACCCCTTCGGGGATAAAACCGTGACGTAATATTATGTTTATTTCAGCATTTCTTATTTATTAGTAGAGTTAGCTTCTCTGTTGATATACATAGTGGAGTTATCATTATAATATTTATTTGTTTATTTCTCTGTTACAGTGGGTGACCTCCTATCGAAATGTAAGTATCAATATTATTTCAATTAGTCGTTAGTGAAGTAAAGTTAAAGATACAAGTTCGAAATCGCCAACCCGCACTGAGCAAGCGTGGTGATTAATGCTCAAACCTTCACATGAGGGCCGATGCCGATTCGGAGTCGCGGAGAACCTATCGGGTAACCGGGGCTCCGGCTCGACGTGCAGGAGAAGGAACGGGGTGGTTTTTAGTCAGTAAGAGTCTGACACTCCCTCCCGCCTCACCCAGGCGGGAGCAGTCATTCGAGGATTTGCCCCCCTTAAAAAAAACCTTCGCATTAGAAGAGACCTTTGCTCAGCAAGGGTCACTAATAGACTATAGATTATTTTTATGGTATAAGCCGGTAAACGAGCAGACGGATCACCTGATGGTAAGCAATCGGCGTCGCCCATGGACATCTGGAACACCAGAAGCGTTACAAGTGCGTTACCGGTCTTTTAGGAATTAGGAGTTTGAGGATCGTTGGGGATTCAGGAATTGGGGAGATTGGGGAAGGGGAGGGTAATTGGGCCTCCGGTAACCTCACTCACACGACGAAACACAACGCAAGCGTTGCTTCACGTCGGTTTTCTGTGAGGCCGTGGTATCACTCCGGTCGAGCCGGCCCATTCGTGCCGAAGCATGGCTCTCCCACACTTAAATGATTGTTGACGATGATTTGTTTTATATAATTGTATTTTTATTTTCAGTGGTGATTGCTACGACCAGGATCGGAGATTGTGTACTAGGACACACCTTCCACGCGCGATCCCGTCATGGACATCTCCACCATTTGAAGCACCCGAAATGTAAGTAACTTTATGGTTTAATATTTAGAAAATTAAAATATTTTCTTACTTACTTACTTTACGAGGCCGCTCAATTAGTTTCAACTTACTATAAGGGCTCATATTCATAAGCAGAATAGGGATGATGACAGGGTATGAAAATTCAAAATGTAATTAGTCCGTCAGTTATGTATCTAATGAAAAAATATTAGACAAGTATTTTTTTATTTTAGATAAAACGAATCAAAGTTTAGGAGTGGGGGCTAAAACGTCATTTCTACGTATAAAATGTACATAAAACATAGAAGTGACGTCACGCGACATTTCAAATCAATATATCTTCAAAAGTATTCATGTCTGTAAGAAAATAAAAAATACGAGTATAATGATTTAAAATAATCTACCAGACGGACATTAAAGTAAAAATTTTTAATCTACCCCATTAAGATTCATTTTAGCAAAAAATTATCAGTTAGTTGGCATACTTACATATATAACCTCACGTCTTATTATATATGTATATTCCCATGGGAGGTAGACAGAGACTATAGAACGCCAATTGCTATGATTCCTACCATACCTCTTTCGCTTCATCAACAGTCATCAATCTTTTCATGCACGCTCGTCGGTTAAGGGTACTTTTAATTTGTCCCTTCTTTAATATATCGCCAATCTGTATGCTTACTCTTGAATCTAATTCCAATCGATCGACATTGATATTGTGTCGTACTCTCGAGTTGCACTCCAGCGCCCATTGCATCCGTATTGCATGGATATTGAATGAACTAAATGGTATTGAGTTTGACTTTATATTCCGTACTCTGAATGCTATTGTAACAGCTACGATTGTGGTTGTATAGTGTTGACATTGAATAATTATTGAGATTTTATTGGATTGAAATTGCATTGACATTGACATTGGGTTCAAGAGTGGTCTGTTGGATGTATTAAACAATTTTGCTCAACATATTTCATTATTTTTAGTGCACATCTGCACTAAGACCCATTACGGTAGACGCTGGGGATGGAAGGCGTACAGAGGTGGATACAGCACTGAAGCTGAAGTCATTCTGTATTATAAGCTTCAAAATGCTGTCAAGCAAGTCCACGCTTTATTGGAACTCAAAGGAGGTCTGGACGGACTTGAAGGTAATATGAGTCTTTCAATTAACTATTTTGCGAATATTTTTAACTAATTTTTAGGACTTCTACTGAAATTCCATTATTTTTATTGTGAATGACAATGTTGCGCACTTTAAGAGTAAAATTACAGCACAGAGCAGACGGATCACCTGATGGTAAGCAATCGGCGTCGCCCATGGACATCCCAAACACCAGGGGCGTTACAAGTGCGTTACCGGATTTATGGGGATTACGTCCTCAAATGAGGATTGTTGGGGGTTTAGTCATTGGGGAGGGCAGCAATTGGGCTTCCGATAACCTCACTCACACGACGAAACACAACGCTGTGATTGCTTTACTATTATTTTCTGTGAGGCCGTGGTATCACTCCGGTCGAGCCGGCCCATTCGTGCCGAAGCAAGGCTCTCCCACACTTAAACTGTCAAACACCAAGCGGTCACCGGTGACTGCAACCTATTGTTCTATAATTGTGTCTATAATGACGGTACTCAACGAGTGAAACGGCTGAAGCGACCGTGATGAAATTTGGAACAGCGTTAGATCATAGTCTGTAGTAATACATAGGCTACTTTTTATGCCCGGGAACACGGACGGAGCTACTGAAAAGTTTAGGTATACACTAATTCAGGACATCTTATTTCTATAGCCTCTGTGCTCGGTCCACGATATTAAGCCGAGCTCCAGCCTTTTGCGTTGAGGCTCACCGTAGGCTTTTTTGTGTGTTCTTTAATTCTTGTTGTGTGTCGTAGCAAAATAAATGGTATTTCTTTCTTCTTTCTTTCTTTCTTTCTTTCTTTCTTTCTTTCTTTCTTTCTTTCTATAAACCGACAATTGTGTTAACGTAGATATATTTTTTTACAGGATACGCTAAGAACCTCGCTCAAGCTATTTTGGAAATCAGCCATCTGTTTGGTCGTAAGTATTTAAAAAATATTCTTTACCTGTTCTTTGATTTCTTTGATATATGATTCCGATATATATATATAGCAATAGGCTCACCCCCTATTACATGGTACTCAGAAAGTGGGTGTTACATTGTGTAGTGGCATAATGTGCACCTCTACCTACCCCTTCGAGGATAAAAGGCGTGATGTTATGTTATTATGATTTCTTTGACAATTACCATTTCTTTTTTAACGGGGGAAAATCATCGAATGTCTGCTCCCGCCTGGGTGAGGCGGGAGGGAGTGTCAGACTCTTACTGACTAAAAACCACCCCGTTCCTTCTCCTGCACGTCGAGCCGGAGCCCCGGTTACCCGTTAGGTTCTCCGCGACTCCGAATCGGCATCGGCCCTATTGGGCCCTATCCGTGGTGGTCTGATGGCTCTTTGAGGTGCGCGCTACAATGACAATGATCATAAGGTTTTATTTAGTTCACATTTAGTTATCAATGTTGGTATAATAAGAAACAATTTAAAAATAAAATTGTACCTTGTATGGTTCCTTTCTACTGACGAAAAGTAACTTCAACTGTATTGTACACCTCTGCCTACCCCGTTTTAGAATTAGTACTAATATCTATTTCTCTATTACAGGTAATCACACCGCTTGGACCCGCAAAGACATCAACTTCGTATACGCAAGATGTAAGACTAAATCTTAATCTTATTAAAGCTGTTTGTTTAAACGCGTTAATCTCGGAAACTACTGGACTGATTTAGATCATTATTTTTGTGTTGGATAGTACATTTATCGAGGAAGGCTATAGGCTATAAAACATCACGCTAAGGTCTATAGGAGCCGAGCAGCGAGTAAAATCGTATGAAAGTAGATAGTATTGGTTATGGGTCGACGTTTGACCACTGTCTCCTCAGTGCCTTTAGCCAAACGCCACTTTAGCGCTTGTCTACAGAGAGAGTAGAAAACTAAATGTATGGGGATGACACTGACAAGTGTCAAAATTTACGTCAATTCCATATAATTTTGTTTTCTATTCTACATGTAGACAAGCGCTAAATGGCATTTAGCTGCAGATGCTGATGATAAGCGATGATGCGGTCTACGATGGAGCACGTCGTCCCATAAGCACTCGAGCAGACACTCAGATTTATTCTTAATCATTTTTCCGAAAATACACTACTGTGAAAGTTATAGTCATGGCCGAGTGGTCGCAATAACGACTGCCAGGCAAGGGGTCTGGGGTTCGATTACCGGGTCGGGCAAAGTATTACTGAGTTTTTTGAAAATTTTCTTTGTCGGCACGGAAGCTGGAAATGAGCCCGGTACATGCTACCCCCTATTACTTAAATCTTCTCGTCACCCCCTATTATATGGGACTCATAACATAAAATAGTGAAAAGTGGGTGTTACATTGTACAGTGGCAATAAGTGCCGTAATGTGCACCTCTGCCTACCCCTTCGTGGGTAAAAGCCGTGATGTTATGTTACGTAACCAAATAGACTAAAATTTCGTTTAGCTCGGTGAAAGATACAATCTTGACAAGTCCTGTCATAGTTTTATATTAATTAATTATTTCTTATTTTCTATTGCAGTGGTTTCCATCTTCGGTCTGGTCGGCAACGCTCAGCATCCTAAACGTAAGTCAATACATAATTTCTTGTAAATTGGGTACTTTCCATCGATATAACTGTCGTATATAGCGATAGACACCCCCTATTACATGGGACTCATAACATAAATAGTGAAAAATGGGTGTTACATACATACATGAGGGTGCGGGCTCGAAACCTACCAACGGCAAGTACCAATGTGACTTTTTCCGAGTTATATGTATTTTCTAAGATTATATAGACACCACTGACAAACGGTGAAGGAAAACATCGTGAGGAAACGTGAACTTATAATTTCTAATTACAAGTTTGAAATCGCCAACCCGCATTGAGCAAGCGTGGTGATTAATGCTCAAACCTTCTTCATGTGAGTAGAGGTCTTACCTCAGCAGTGGCTATTTATAGGCTGTTGACGATGATATTGTATATGTGGACTTCTAAGTACTATTATAGGGATTAAAATATCGTACCTCCGGTGCTATACCGTCACTTATGTATTGCGGGGGCCCGCGCGCAACTGAACAATGAAGCGTTATTTCTCCTAGTGCCGTCCAGATTAGCGCCAAAACCGTAACGACAGTAATGCCCTCACAATGTCAGTTTGCTTACTACACAAATGACAATAAATAACGCACCAAGTAAAGAGGTGAATTTGGAGTATTCTTACATCAGTTAAGGTTTGACAAAAATTGCATAAGTGACGATATTGCACCGTAGGTGCGATATGTGATACGAGTCACTTAAGGGGCCAGTAGAATACCAGCGCAAGGCCCTGTTTTGCACATGCTGACTGGTCCCATTTCACCGCAGACTTAAGGCATTAGTAGATATTTATAAACTTACTATCTTCTGCCCGCGACTTCGTACGCGCAATCCCGTTTTCTCCCATTCCCGTAGGATTTTAAGGATTTTTTCTGTCATAAAAACCTTCTTCTGACAATAATAAACACAACAGTAGTCTAGCCGTTCTCAAGTTATGGCGTGACAACGGGAAACGGGTTTCATTTATATATTATATAGATGTGTAAAATCGATATATGTCACCTGTTTCAGAGTGTGATATATAGTTCTTCTTTCTTTCTCTGATATTAGAGTATATAAATTAATGTTGTCATTATTCTTTTTGCAGTTGGCAGATACCTCGTTGCTGGTAAGTAAAACGTTACTATTTTATTTTCGGTAGGTGGTTTTTTTTTTATATTTAATGGGGCGACGTTTGACCACTATATATTATATTATACTAGCTTTTACCCGCGGCTTCGCTCGCGTCACAAAATAATAGAATATAAATGTATAAAAAGTAGCCTATGTGACATATACCAATACACACAGCGCCATCTATACCAATACTTTTGTTTTTCCTCGGGAATATCAATTTTTCCGGGATAAAAAGTACCCTATTATTTAATCCGGACTTCTAACTTTACGTCGGCAAAAATTCAAAGCAATCGGTTTAGTAGTTACGGCGTGAAAGCGGAACAAACAAACAAACAAACAAACAAACTCACTTTCCGATTTATAATATTAAGTAAGGATTTATTTTTGTGTTTCTAGTAACGCTATCATAAGACACACGGAATTAAAAATGACAAGTTAACACACAAATTCTTCACCCAGTTGTACAGTCTCTTCTTTGTGCCTTTTGGCTTAATTCATTCTGTCTCCTGCAGTAATTCACCGAGGGCAGTGAAAACCATAGTTTTTTCTTCTTCTCCTTTTATAATATCTTCTGATTCACTTCGTTGCGGGAACCAAGACAGTTACTCATGTCCCTGGGACGCGCCGGACTTCAGTGTTCCGGTGTTTTCATGGTTGAATCTACTGTAGATCCTGGCTTACAGGAGTTGCAGCGGTTTTGGGAGGTTGTGGCGGGCTTGTCCCAATATAAAAAAAGTTAACACACAAAACTAAAAATAACAAGTTATTCACGTCAATACACCGTGAAATATATTTCGTTTTCGTCCCGAAGTAAAATGGTTCTGTCTCCATAGTAGGTACAATAGTTTTACAAAGAAATAAAATGTTTAAAACAAACAATAACTGGTGAACCATTGCAAAAGGCAAACTTCGAAAGCGCATACGAACTCATTACAGTACATTATCAAAATATCACGCTATGTAATTATCGAAGAGGTATTTCTCGTCGAGTGTCACGTGCGATGCGAATAGTGCCTAGTGTTTCATGTGCGTATTTATATGATTTTTTTTAACTAAAAAATTACAATTGTTTTTTTTTGGTTTTAAAGAATTATTATTATTATTTATTATGTTTTGCTGCGAGACGAAAACGTAAACGTAAACGAAAACGTAAAAAAATGTAAAAAATAAAATCAAATTATTTTTGAATTTAAATCTTCAACGACAATTATTGTAAAAGTTCGAATTCACTTACCTCTATATGTTTTTATAGTAACTATCGTGAGATATACTAAATTAACTAAAAATCGCGGATTACTCACGTGAATATACGGAGAAAAGCTCTACTAGTTTCGAACCACAGAGGGGATCTTCCTCATGAGCAGCGTGCGCGGTCGCGGCGATGTCGCGCAGCCTACTGCTACCTACAGTAACTAGTAAACTAGTAGAGCTTTTCTCAGTATATTCACGTGAGTAACCCGCAATTTATAGTTACTTCACTTATATGTTTAAAAATTCGAGTAAGATCAAAATTGACTGTATGGTTCTCACAATGTGAAACGGGTCTGATTCCCGCGCGGAGCAACTCTTTGTGTGACCCACAAACTCGTTATCTTTTCCCTGGGTATGTGAACTTGTATGTTTGTAAACGTACCCTCGACACAGGAGATAAACCCAGTGCCCAACGTCTTCAAAAAATAAATCTTTGCTTTATTAACGAACATTATATTAATAAATACATTTTTCTCTTTTCCAGAATTCTTATTCCTGTTCAGAATCAACAACTTCGCCCGCGATTATAAATTGGGTAAATATTTTTTTTCAACACATTAATATTATATTTTTAAAACTAATTAACCTCCTGGGATTTACTCGTAAGTAATTTGTGTTTAAAAAATCGTCAACTTGAATTGAACAAGCGTGCTGATTAAGCCTTCAAATGCCGATAAAAACTGATAAAAGCAAAGCCTCCGCTAGTGTCGGGCATCATTGTCCGACACGGCACTCAATGTGTTAATGCTCAAAACTTCTTCATGTGAGAAGAGGCTTTTGGTCATCAGTAGGAATTTATAGGCTGATTATGATCATAACTTTAAATTGTTACTCAAATTGTATGATTGTATTATAGTGTACATAAAATAAAGTTTTAATAACTTTTCAGACATCGATAGCCACATCAAAATAATAGACAAGGTCGTTCTAATCGAAATCAAGCAATTATGGTTGCCCGGAATAAAAATCTGTAGTGACGAGAAATTTGAGAAAGGCATTGTCGACACTGACGATGAAGAAATAGTAGAAGACGAAGAGACGTACCCTCAAGAAGATGATGATGATGATGACGACGATGATGACGACGATGACGACGATGAAGACTCTTCAACCCCAGGAGATGATGATTCTAATCCAAAAACACCAGGAAAAGGAAAAACACCAATCGATTCACCTCCTGACAATGATGATGAAAACTCACCATTAAACCCTGGCAAAGGTGACAAGCCCAAGAAGCCCGGACAGTCGCCTGATGACAATGACGATGACTCCAACCCCAAGAAACCAGGCAA